CCCCTCCGTTTCATCGCCCTCCTCCCCGGGGAGCTGTCAGTGCCCGGCGTCGCTGCGCGGGTCCACGGTTCCGCAGAGGGTCATCGCGCGGCGCGTGATCTTCTTGGCGCCCTGCGCGTCGCGCGGCGCGTCGACCGGGCGCGCGGCGCGTCGACTCCTGGACGCGCCGCAGCGATGCGACGCGCCAGGCCCCGAATTTGCGCGATGGTGGGTGGAATAAGCAAGAGCACCAAAGACTACAAGCATGTCGCCGGCAATAATGCCTGCGGCGGCGTCGCGAGAAGCCTCGGCGACATCGGGGCGAACTATCGGGCGAAATTGCCTGACGAGCTCGCCCTGGCCCACGATCGCGACGCCCTCCGTCGCCATGGCGCGCCCTGCCACGCAATTTTCGCAAGCGTGCTTGCTTGCTGAACTTCCACGCGCAGAATGCCTATTCAACTCTCCTAAAGCATGCGTATACGCGGGGTTCCTCGCCGCGCGCAGGTTGATTTCATCTCTGCGTTTTGCCGCGGGCAGGTTCTGTCGGGCCCCGCGCTCCAGGACGCGCGCCATTGGTCCGAGGCCAATGTTTTCCGTGGCTCGCGCAAGTCCAAAAGAGAAAATACGGGGGCGCCCCGGGCGCCCGCGTCGAGCTCGCGACGCTTCAGGCATCGCCTGGACTCATCCCACTCCTCAAGGCGGGGCAACGCACGTAGGACTGCTGCGCTTCCAGGAGGTGGCGTCAAACAGATTGTGCGATCCTGTGTTCCCGCAGCTGCTGCCAGCTCTTTGGATATCTAGTCACTCGAGGAAGGCAGTCTGCCTAAGCTGTCTAGAATCCAGTCTCCACGGCAGGCAGCTCCACTCGCCAACAGGCGCTGGGAGGCGCGCCTTGCCGCCCCTGGAAATGCTTCCACCGAAGAGGCTTCTTGGTCCATGAAGACCTCTGATGCCAAACTAGGGCGCGTTGCCCTGTCTGGCCGGACTCCATTTCTACGAACTCCACACATAGACGTGCCCGGGGGCGTTGGCGCCCTGGGCTTTGGACTACAAGTGATCGGCGAAGCACGGGTTGTCCAGCCAGGGCTCAGTTCGGCCGGAAACCCAGACGATGCCTGTTTGGGGTGATTGATGATGTCCTGATTAGCGAGCTGCTCAAATTCTGTGATCACTACAGCTCGCTCAGCGTCTGCCGATGCCCACGCGCGCGCGCCGTGGGCCACCCATCCGGGGACACGGCGCCCACTTGAGATTCATCTCGTACTCTTTTTGCCACGTCGCAGCTGAAAAATAGTTCGGCATGCACGCCGCGCGCATCGGTGTCACGGCAGCAGCGGTCAGTACCGCCATCGCTGGTCGACACCTCGATGGCCATGACAGGTCACCTGGCCGGTGGTAGGTGAGCCGAACGTCATGATGTATAATCGCGCAGGTCAGCTGTCTCCAGCTTGAACATATGACTCTACTGCTCTTGGGATACGAGTGCTACGCTGATGGGCATGAGTGCGGGTGGGGACAAACGTTGCTCAGTCAGGGTGAATGGTTCAGCGTGCTGGTATCCAGTGCCCATCAGTCCCTGGCGCCACGCCACGCGTGGAAATGGTGCATGCCTCCTGCTCGCCCCCGACCTCGCCGGCAATGGATGGCCACCCATCTCCCCGCTGGGCTCGCGTTTCCGAGATCGTCGCCCCCCTCGGGCCCGTGGGCCAGATCTGTGGACAGGTCTGGTTGCAACAGAAAACGCTGTATCCATCGAGCACGATCGCCGCCCGAGATATCAGACACGTTGATGGAGGTGTCGGCGGGCGCGTAGACATGAAAGCCTGGCTGGACGTCGATGTCGCGCTGGATTTGCGCGCTGTGATCAGCTCCCAGGTGGGGCTGCAAGGAGTGGGCACACTTGGCCAGCTAGAGAACGGTGACGTTGTCAATTCGCGAGTGCGCCCGAAAAAGCAACGCAATGGCATGCGGACTTCTGGGGCCATCTTACTTCCGAGGACAATCGGCAATCGGCAAACCGTCTCGCAGTCGGGGGCGTCGCCAAAAACAATGAGGGCCCTCCGTGGGGGAAGAGCTGGGATGCATGGTATGATCATACGCATGGACATGTTGCGCATGCCAAATCTCCTGTTCAGGAGCACCTCGATGGGCATGGCCAGTCTCGCATCGGGGAACTGGATTACAATCTCTCTGTTTCCCGATTTGGCAACCAGCTGGCTTCTATCCTCGCTGATCTCCGCGGCCATAGTGGGCCCATTCCAGCCTCCGTGGCCGTTTTCGTAACCGATGGTCTGTGGTAGCCACTCACGCCATCAACGCGGAAGGTCCTGCCACGCATTCGTATGTCTTTAGCACCTCGAACATCAATGCGTCCGGTGATTGGGTGGCTTTCAGGGTAAAGCTTGTGCTGTGTAGCGGCCTGTGTCAATGAATCGCTTGGCTTCCGCTACGACGTCACGATTGCGCCCAAACATGGTCAGGCACTGTTGATGTCACGCACCTGGCTGGCAATATGTCAAACAAGGTTTTGCCGCCCCGCCGATGTCACCCGCGGGTTGTTCGTGCCTCGACGAATCTACTCCCAGCGCATCTGCACATGACAGGCGCGCGCAAACTCTCTTGACATTGCATTAAATATTTGTCGCTCTGTCGCCGGCCCCCCGTCCCTGATTGGCCAGGTGGTTCGCTATTGCCTCGCTGGTTGGTTGGCTGGCGGACTGACTATTGGGCTGGATGGTTGGATGCATGGCTGGTTGGGTGGCTGGCTGAGTCTCTGGGACCCCGAGCACGCGACTGGCGTCAGACAGGCGAAAGGGCACGCGACTGGCGCGCGCCAGGTGCACGAGCATGCGAGGTGGAATTCTAGAACTTGGCTTTGCGTTCTAGAACTACTTCTGCTGTTCTAGAACTCGCTTTGCAATTCTACAATGTCGTGTTGCGTTCTGGTACTCGTTTTGTTTTTTCTATAATCGCCTCCGGCCGTTTGGCGGGAAATGCGTGGGACAAATGACGGGGGTCGGGATTCGGGGACACATCGCAGGGCGGCGAAGGTGGCCCCGAGTGGAGCTCCGAGCGGGCTGCGGAGGAAAGTATGCGCAAGTTTGCGGAGACACGGTGCTCCAGCTTGGCGACATGGGGGACACGGGCCTGGCTTGAGAGAGGGCGACTCTCATTGAGGTGCTGGCGACGGCGTGGGCGTGGTCAAAGACCGAATGCACGTGAATCCCAGTGAATTGATGCGTCACCCTTCCGCTGCCACTTGCGATTAGCGCGGGCGGGCGGATGATGATGATTGATGGGGAAGTGGAGGGGGACGGGGGGGGAGAGGGAGGCCGAGGAGGGGAAACATAAACCTTAGAGGAGGACGTGCAGGAGGCGGAGGCAATGATGGTGGTGGAGGCGGAAGCGGGGGTGCAGGAGGCGGAACAGGAGAGGACGGGGGAGATGGGGGAGGAAATTCACGGGTGGCGATGTTTTGGGCGAAAAGGCATTTCAGATTTCACCCGTAGCCCTCCACCCAAAGAAAATGCTCGGTTGGCAGAGCTCTGGCCACGACGTTCGGCGACATGGGTGATTCCAAACGGCAGGGGGCGGCGCTGATTAGCCGTAGGCGTCTTCGATCCGCCGCCCCCTCTGGTCTTGCCACAGGGGTGCACGGCGTGCCGAATGTCTAGCACATGTTTAAGTATTCTAAAGAGCTCCCAATGGGGTCTCGGCCCAAACCGCCGGCCACGCGGAAAGCCTGGGAAAATGTACAGTCCATCGGTTTTCCAATCCAAATGCCCCCAAGATGGCCTCCAAGACGGCCAAGATGGCCTCTAAGACGACCGAAAGGGCCAAAGAAAGCCCAGCCGGATGTCTCCAAAAAGGCCCAAGACACACCCAAGACGGCCTCCAGACAGCCCATAAGGACCCCAAGAGGCTTCCAAGATGGCCTAAGAGGCCTCCAACAGGGCCTCCAGAAGGCCTGGAGATGCCAAACTCATTTGTATTCCGTAGGTGCTTGACAGATTTTGACGTTTGAGTCGTTGGGCCTTCCGACGGTACAAGAAAGCCCAAGACGGCCCGAGACTGTTTCCCCGGCCTAACGCGCCTTCCCAGGTCGTCGGTCTTCCCGCTCCAGACGGCCCCAGGATGGCCGACAAGACGGCTACGATGACCCCAAGAAGAGCCCAAGATAGCCCCAAAACGTCTCCAAGATGGGCCGAGATGCCCCCCAGATCGCCCAAGAGAGCCCAAGAGGCTTCTAAGACGGCCCAAGAGGACCTCCAAGAGACCCCCAGGAATGCTCGAAAAGGACTGACTGTCCATAATTCCGTTCTCGAAAGATTGTGGCGTTTATTTCTGTTCGGCCTTCCGACGGCTCAAGACGGCCCAAGAGGCTTCCAAGGTGACTCCGTGACGCCCCAAGAAGCCCTCAAGACGGCCCCAAGAGTGCTCCAAGGCGGCCCAGGAGATCTCCAAGACACCCAAGATGGCCTCCAAGACGGCCCTGCAGCGCCCCAAGAGGTCCACGAGTCGGCCCAGAGAGGCCCGCAAGACGGCGTCCCACGACCGGGACGCCCCAGACGACCAAAGAGCCTCCCAAGGAGCCTCCCAAGGCCCCCAAGAAGCCCAAGAAAGCCCCCAAGAGAAGAGTCCCCAGGAAGCTCCAAGGAGGTCACAAGAGTGCCCCAAGAGTCTCCCAAGAGGTCTCCTGCTTGCCATCCTCCTCCTTCTTTCCTCTCTCACCTCCTCGTCTTCTTTCTCACCCGCGTGCGTTCCGCAGGGCTTCCACAACGGCTGGAAGAGCGCGTGGTCCGACAGCTTGGCCGGCCGCAACGCTCGGCCACACAGGCTCTTCAAGAAGTCAGGGGGCGGCGATGTTTTTCGCCGTAGGCGTCTTGGATACACCTGAACTTTCGAGACACCGGCGCGGGACACGCCTCCGCCTCGACGTCTTTGGCCAGTGGTCGGCGAGTGGGTCGGCGGACGCCCCCCGACGAGCGGCGAGCGGCGCGGCCGCGGCGCCGCGGCCCTCAGCCGGCAACTCCCGCCGCGGGGGCGCCGCCGGCGGGCCCAGCAGCGGCTCCGCCGCCGCCGAGCGCCGCGCCTGCCAGAGGTTTCGGGACGTCTGGCGGCTCGAAGGAAACGAGGGAGCCCATACAAGACGAAAGCAGAATCGAGACAACGTCGGACCGATACAAATCGGACATCTCTGATAATCGGCGGGTCTGGAGGGTGTGTCGGGCGCCGCGGCCATTGCAGCGCGCTCCAGAACGCTCTGAGAGCGTTCCGGAACGCTCCAGACCGAGTCATTTCGATTCCAGGCCTGCCTGACCACATGTCGTCCTGGTCGTCTGGCGGGTCGAAGAAATCGAGAGGGCCTACGGTAGGTTTGTGCGGGAGTCGGCGCGCACAAAGATTTTTGACACCGCGTCGATGGTTCAACCTTGAATTGATCGCAACCCCGACGGTTCAAAATTGAGTCCCGTCGGGTCCAGTGGCGTTACCGTGTCCATCGGTGCTTCCGCGTCGCAGAATTCAGCCTTGAACGCGTTCGCCAGCGTCTCCGGCACGCCAACGCCGCGTGAACCTACCGTGCATTTCGTCCTGGTCGTCGCTGCTGGTCCGTTCGTCCTCGTCTCGAGGATTCGAGGGCCTGAGGTCCGAGGGTCGAGTCGGGCTCGGGCTCGATGTCCTCGGGCGTTGTCATCGGTTCTCGGCGGTGTTCCAGTCTCGGGAGGCTTTCCAGCAGCTGCGCCTCGCCGAGCGAGTCCCAGAGGGGTGCGCGAAGCTGCGGGGGGTTGAAGAATGATGGGGTACAAAATCTGCTGCCTGCGGCTGGTCTTGGCCCGCCACCACTTGGGCGCTTTCGCTTTCCTCGATCTCTGGGCGCCGCGTAATGGGGGGCGATAAATGAGGGGGCAGCGAGGGCTGCAGGAAAGGGGCCCTCTAAGGCCCCTGAAGCCTAAAGGGGCCCTTCAGGGCCTCAAAGGGGGCTCTCAGGCTTCTAAAAGTGTATATGTCTTGCCCCCCTACTTTTCCCCCTCCCACTAAGCGACTCTTAGGATAATTGGCCGCCTCTGGCGCCAGGGGGCGCGGGGAAAACAAGCTGCGCACGTGAACTGGCTCGCAAGACTTCCATTTGTTAGCCCCCCAAGGCTCGACCCAAACGACGTTTCCCGCTGTCGTTTTATCTTCCCTTTCCCCTCGTGTTGTCTTCGGTCTGCCTTTGCTGCAACACGGAATCAGAACGAAAACGGCCCACGTGCGGCGCTTCCGGGGCTGGCCTATCCCTCGTGCATCGATTCACGTATCCTTGCCATGGCTTCCACGTAGCAACGCCCGGCGAGCGGCACGTTCACTACTATCGGACATGGTTGTCCACTGCCGCTCACGCGGCTACGGCCTGCTACTACCAGCGCTGCGCCACCTTCGCATCGGCGTGGCACCACGCCCAGCCTCCACACTTGGCAGGATACTTCGCAATGCGCCACGCTTCTATGCACGGTTGCACGAGACCGCGCCATGGGAGTGTTTGTGCAATGCTTTTCCGGCGCTTCCCCGGGTCGAGTCGCCGGACGGGCAGTTCCACATCTTTGCCCCGCAGGAGACATGGCCGTGGCAGGGCGACCAGTCTCGTCTACGGACGGCCCCTGCTCACGTTGCGGTCGTTCCTGTACGGAGTATATTGCTTAAGAGTTTCACCCAGCTCACCAAACGCCTGGCTGCGACCATAGGGGCGGGGGTGGACGACGGGCCGCTCGAGCAGATGGCGGCGCGGGCGGCTGATACTTACTGTGGGGCGGCAGGTCTTGCACCCTCTAGCCTCGATTTTGTACCGGTCACCTACGAGGAGGTGGCCGAGATGCGGCGTTCCCTGAAGGGCCTCGTCATTGAGACCTTCCAGAAGACGCGCCGTGTAATGGTCGCCGAGTGCCCTCGGCGAGTGCAGCTACTATGCCATAAACTTTTTGGAGCTGACGGGACGGACCCGCACTACCAGTACTTTCCCGACCTCACTGCCGAGGCCGTTCTACTGCGTGTGGCCGACATTCCTGGGCTCTCGCCTGAACTGCAGCCCCGGCGCATCAGCAGGCCATCGGCTTGGAAGATGGCCCGGGCAAGCGCCCCCAACAAGAAAAGAGCGAAGCCAGACGACCGCCGACCCATCGTCAACCGTTCGGCCTGGCCTACGGCATGCCTCGACACGCTGGCGGCTCGGGCGCTGGACTGGGTAGGGGCCTGCTACCTCCCTCAGCATGCCCACATTGACATCCACAGGGCCGACGCCATCATCGAGCTGCTCCGCGAGTTTACCGAGGTCGGACCATCTACCCCGGTCCGAGCATGCGGCTCCGACGTCGTCAGTTGTTTCACGAACATGCCCCACGAGCTCATCGTCCGGGCTTGGTCTTTCTATCGATCTACCCTGCAAGGGTCGATCCAGGCTATCCGCGTGGCGCGCCGTGGCAGGCGCGCAGTGTCATCAGCAGGGGCGCCTCCATCCCGAGTACACGGCCAGTGCATGACCATCACTATTGACGACATCGATGTGCTCATACGGCATCACCTATTCACGGGTTTTTTCATGTTGGGGGAGCTGGTAGGGATGGAGGTGGAGGGCCTGGCGATGGGCAGCCCAATGGGTTCGGCGCTTACCCGGATGGCCTTAATCTTTTGTGACCTTACCTTCTACTACGCCTTGCATGGTCCTGAACTGCCCCCGTTGGGATACAGGGGCCGGGTATATGAGACCGTTATCTTGGGTCACATGGTGTGGCTTCTCGAAGTGCGGTACATGGACGACTACCTCCTTCTCTGGAAGGGCCCTTCCTACCTGAATGCTCGGGACATCGGGCTGCTCTCCAGCCGCCTGGCACGACGAGCAGGAGAGCGGTACCCCCTACCGCTCGAGCGAGACGATAGCCTCACATTCGTAGGTGTTGACCTGAAGCTCAACTTGGACGGCAGCGTGGCGGCATGCCCTTCGATCGGCCATCTTGGGGGCAGGGGCGGCACCTTTGAGTTTGAGGGTTTTTCGCCGTACTACAGCTTCATCCCGGATGGCACGAAGCGGGGTATCATCTTGGGCATTGTTGCGCGCGTGACCCACTTCACGTTTCCGGACAACTTGCGCTCCGAGGCCTTGCGTGCTTTCCGGGACCACTTGACGGGGGTGTCGGGCTACCCGGTTTCAGTGTTTGACAGCTGGGCTAGTGAGGGCACCCGCCACTGGCCATTTCAGCTGTGATGCATGTGAGGTGGATCGGCCCCCACAAATACCTGCTGCATGGTTGTCGGCTCGCGGCCAGAAAGGGCCCTACCCCCCCATCCCTCCTGTCCTTCCCTCCTCTCCCTCCCCTCCCTTCTCGGTGGGTCCGGCTCTCCCTCTGCCTCCTCCTCCTCCTTCCATTGAAGGGGCACGCATCACGAATTTCGGTACCTCTGAGGCCGGAGTGTTCTCCTAAGCACTGGCGAAGGCTCTCCTAAGCAGTGGCGAGCTTTGGGTGTACCGGCCTATCCGCTTAAAACCGGCGTGCCGGCCCATCCGCTATCGTTTGGCTGGTTTTGCCGGGGTCCCCGGGCTACCCCACCGCCAACTCTTGGTGGCAATCTAAACGGTCGAGGAAGTGACCTCCGGTGTGTTACAATTTATCTCCCTCCTGCAGGTTCGGATCGCCACCGGGACTCGGAGTCAAAACTGTGTATACGTTTCTGGCCTTTCCGCCCGCAGGACCAGGCATGCAGATAGAGGGACGGGACGGGGGGGAAGGGAGGGGACATTCATTGAATTCAACAGAATCCCCACGAACCCGGCACAGTACGTGCAGTGCCGGGGGTGGCGGACCGTCTCCCCATCCCGCCATCAAAGGGGGATGCGAAGTACCTGGAGACGGGACGGGGTGGGCACAGGTTGGCATCATAGCCGACCCAAAACCAACAGAGGCATCATAGCTTCTGATCCTCATACTGTCTAGGCTGATCCACTCACGGATCCAACACCTCATCTTCTACTCATTTCATTCCATGCGTAGCATGCTCTCCCCCGTCCTCTGGCACGATCTTGCTCGAGACGAAACAATTGCGGACGATGCCCAACAGGAGCAGGCGGCTTCCGTCCCAAACGGACAGCGCCCGCGGCTGCACCGACAGCGAGTCTTCTTCTCAAAACGGGAAGCACTTGACGATTGTTTTCGTCTCCATCGTCTCTGTCCCCATTTCGCCCCCCCCCCCCCCCTACTTTGGGCTAGTTGATTCCAGCTTCGGTCCCTGGGACTGTCAAGAAGCTGCTCGCGATGAGAATAGCTGGCGCCAGGGACGTGATACGTGATCAAGGGGTCCAGGTAGGTGCCCACGTCTCGAAGAAATCGTGACGCCGCATGTGAAGGGAAGGCGACAACTGAGAACCGTGTGACGTTTTTGGACGATTCTGACCTCTCGTGGGCCTTCGGAAACCTCCAGAAGCCTCTGGCGACGTGGGTAAAAACTACTGAGGATCATGAGGCCTACGTCGTCGCCCGTCGTCGTCGTCGTCGTCATCCTCGCCTGGGACTTGGTGCTGCTGCCACTCATGATGCATTAGGCCCGTCTTGCGCAAACTGGTCATCGTATGCTGGTGACCTGGATCACTTTGCCCTGCCACTTCTTCCTGTAAGGCCTTGTTGTCCAGGATGTTGATGCAACGCGTATTGTTGGACCGTGCTGTCCGGGCAGGGAAGCGTGTACTCGCTGTGTGCCTGCAATAATTCGTTATGATGTATGATGTGGCGATGCTGGCATCGTGAATCGCTCTGGTGTTCGCACCAACAAAGGGGGGCTCTGTTGGCCTGGAACCAATTGACACCGCACTCTGCTCTCCTCGAAGTAAAGGACGGCTGCATTTGGCGCCACGTAACCGAGTGATCTTGCGAGAAGCTCCCAGATGCGATGCGAAAGCTCGACATTTTCCTCGTTGCCCCAGCTATCCCCCCCTGTGCTCCCGTGGGTGGAATGACGGCGTCGATGCAATCCGCCACCGTGCCGCTGGGCACGGAGTGGGCGCGTCCTCGGGTCCTGGGCCCAATCATCTGAGCCCCAACCCCCCCCTCCTGGGGCCCACTCATCGAAGCCCCAATCACCCCGGCCCCAATCCTTACGGGGCCCGGACCACTCGACTTCAGATCTCCCAGAGCCTGGCGCGTGCCCCCTGGGGCTTGGCGCGTGCCCCCTGGGGCTGTGCCGAGTGGTGGCGCGTGGATTGTTCGGGCCCAGGAGGGGCCCAAGGCCAAGAGGGCCCCACGCGGCTGGCAAGACAGCCCAAGAGGGCCCCGAGACGCCCAAGATCGGCCCAAGACGCCCAAGATGACCTCAAAAGGGCCCAGGAGGCCTCTGGGACGCCCCAAGAGGCCCCCAAGAGGCCTCCCAAGAGGCCTCCCAAGAGGGCCTCAAGAGGCAAACAGTACTAATTTTCCTAATGCTTCCGACGGTTTCGCCTTTTCAGCTTTCCGACGCTCCAATGCGACCCAAGAGGCCCCAAATACCACCCCAAAACGGCCCAAGAGGCCTCCAAGAGGGCCCTGCTACGGCCTAAGAGCGCCCCAAGACGGCCCAAGAGGCGCCCAAAACGGCCCAAGAGGGCCCCAAAAGGGGCCCAAGAGAGAGAACACGAACCGAAAATCCAAGCCTTCCACCCCAATGAGGCCACCAGGAGACCCCAAGATGCGCCCAGGAGGCCCCAGAAAGCCCCCCAAAGACCCAAAATATGCAATAATAGGCCCACAACCGGCCCCCAAGAGGCCTCCTAACTGCCTCCAGGAGGTTCCAGAAAGGCCTCCCACGACATCCCAGCGAACATCCAACCGGCTTCCATACCCACGACCACGTCACGGTGGCGGGATGGGCCGAAAGCCATTCTACTATTCCTGTCCTCGCTATCACACCCAGTCGTCGGCCAACACATCGACGCTGCTTGCACCAGAGGAGGAGGAGGAGGAGGAGGAGGAGGAGGACGATGAGGAGGAGGAGGAGGAGGAGAAGGAGAAGGAGGAGGACGATGAGGAGGAGGAGGACGATGAGGAGGATGAGGAAAAGGAGGAGGACGAGGAGGACGCGGAGGAGCAGGAGGCGGAGGCGGAGGAGCAGGAGGCGGAGGCGGAGGAGCAGGAGGGGGAGGATGAGGAGAAAGAGGAGGAGGAGGAGGAGGAGGAGGAGGAGGAGGAGGAGCAGGAGGAAGAGGAGGAGGAGGAGGAGGAGGAGGAAGAGGAGAATGAGGAGGAGGAGGAGGAGCAATCAGGAGAAGGAGGACGAAGAGGATGAGGACAAGGACGATAACGTGGAAGCGGAAGCGGCGACGCGGGCGGCAACGACGCACGACGCCGACGGCGAACGCGGACGACGGACGAGCGACGACGACGGCGCCGACGCCGGCGACACTTGACGACGGCGGACGGCACGACGGCGCCGACGCCGACCGACACGGACAAACGACGGACCACGGCGGACGCCGCCGACGACGGTCCCGCCGCCGACGGCGCCGCCGCCGACGGACGTCTGAGCTTCCTACGACCGCGGCCGACCACACACGGCGAGGCCGACGACCGGCTCCGACGGACGCTGGACCACCGCCCGGCGCAGCGGGCGGCCTCCTGGAGAAGCGGGCCGCCGCCGCGGGAGCGGCGGGGCCCCCGCCGGCGGGGCGGCGACCTGCCCCGCCCAGATCGGATCGGCGGGGGGGGGGCCTGGCCCAGTGCCCCCAGTACTCTCGGGCGTGGGGGGGCCCAAGAAGCCTCCAAGGCACCCCTCACGGGGCCCAAAGGGCTCCAGAGGGGCCGGGAGATGGCGCGAGGGGGTTGGGGCGCCTCTGGGACCACTTCTGACAACACCCAAGCGAACAGGAGCGGCGCCAGCGCTGGACACAACCCTTGTGGCAAGGGTGTGCCCGTGCCTCTTTGGGCTCGGCGCGTGGCGCGTGGGGCGAGGAGAGGGGGAGGAGGAGGAGGAGGAGGAGGAGGAGGAGGAGGAGGAGGAGGAGGAGGAGGAGGAGGAGGAGGAGGAGGAGGAGGAGGGGGAGCAGGAGCAGGAGGAGGAGGAGGAGGAGGGGGAGCAGGAGCAGGAGGAGGAGGACGAGGAGGAGGAGGAGGAAACCGCGGCCCGCCCGAGCGATTCAGGCGAATGTTGCTGCCAAGCGCGGCGACCAGCCCTCAGGTGGGCATTAGGCGCCCGCGATCACCGAGATCGCATCCTGGATTGTTTCGCCATGTTAGCTTCCAGCGGCCCTGCTTGCATGGCTTACACGTCTCTCAATGCTATTACTCTTGTTTCTCGCTCTCATATTACAGCATGTAACACAGCATGTACAAAGCTTTGCTACGCCGCTCGAAACACATACAACGCATCAACATTCATCTCATGCACGGTCAAACATGCATATCGCTTCAGGGTCTTAACACATTTGCGTCCGAGCTTGTACTGCTTACCAACACGGATGATCGGGACCACACAAGGATGATATCCTCAGTTGTACCACCTACAATCTACCCTGCGCCGATACCTCTACGTTGACCTGATCCGCCGCCGCCCCACTACACAGTGGAAGAGGTGTCAGGGCCACGGCAATATTTCAGCGTATTCAAGTGATTCAGAGATTGCCAATATCGTTGAAAATCAAATTGAACATGCTTCACACTCAAGTATCTCAGACAGCACGGTAGGCTCAAACGACGATGCGTACCCTCGCAATTTGGCAGGCACCCTGTTGGCAACGTCTGGACATGTTGGCCGCGGACTCAAGCACACACACACACACATAAGGCCACAAACTTGCCAGCTGATTTACACGCTACAAATGGCAACGGTATGGTCGAAGGGCACCCTGGCGCCATCAGAGAAGTGGGGGACAAGTGGGTTTGCAACTCATCAATATCCACAACGCAGCGCCTACGAGATGAGTTTCAACATGCAGCGCATAAATATGTATAGAGTCAGCTTGGGGAGCAATGGCACCTCCAGTTTAAACATGCAGCGCATCGTCTTCACACAGCTTCGGCAACAATGGCATGTCCAATGTAGTGGTGCAGAAGAAGACGACATTATCGTTTATTTCCAGGGTATGGCTGAAGACAGACATGCACTCATGACAGCAAAATCACAATGTATCAGCGTGATTGCCAGCGACGCGAGCGACTCTGAAGTATCAGTGGCAATATTCGACGAGCCAGTGGCAACATTACCTTTACCCATTCATTGATGAAGATGATCGTGCAGTGGTGCAGCAATTTCAACAGTACATTCGCCAGTTTCGTGGCATTTGCGCTGGTGGTTTGGACATTGGAGCAGAGGCACTTCTTACATACAGTATGACAGATTCGAAATGTGGTTGAAGGCTGCCTGTCTCTTCTACATGCCACACGTGTCATAAAATTATCATCATCATCACCGTCATCAACTTCGTCATCATCATCATCATCATCATCATCATCATCATCATCATCATCATCATCATCATCATCATCATCATCATCATCAACATCATCTCCCATCCATGCGTATGATTGTACTCACGCGCTGTCTATGCCGGCGCGCATTTGGCGCGTCGCCTCACCCGGCGGAGGAGGTGGGAATTGCAATATTGGGGAGGTGAAGGTACACGCGCAGGGGGGGGTCTAAGGGAGTCGAGAAAATGGCTGGAGGAGGTGGAGGAGAACACGGGCAGAAGCCTCGAGATTGCACACTTGGAGCCAGCACACACTCAGCATTTCGCTGAATCGGGCCAGCCAGCACGTCTGTGCCAGCCCACTCACACATGCCATGTACACTTCAGTACTCCACGCTGGCATACAGGGGGAGAACTCGAGCCACAATAGTGGCAACAGTGACGGTGGTGCCCCCCATAAGAACTGAGACGGTGAACCCCCCCGAGGAACCGAAACAAAACACGGGTAGCAGTCCAAGAATTGCATGTGTTTTTTTCTCTACTTGCCAGTCCGTACAGCCTAGGACACCCACTTGGGCCAGCCAGCACAGTCTGCAGCAGCCCCTTACCACACACTTCTTCTGTTCCCCTGCAACACATCATAACTGCAGGATACAATGTGGAACGGACACCGATGGTGCAATTTAGCATGGCGGGGGACGGTGGACGTACTTACCAGCAGTCCTGAGTCTGCCATGTTGCTTACCACGTGGGCCAGCCAACGCGACCTGAATCAACCCCTCTCCACACGCTTACTGGGGCTTGGTATCTGCCAATGCCTTAGAGCCAAGCTTTTAGCACCAGCCGGAACTTTAGAATAGTAGATTGGTGGGGTTGGGTGCAATTACTTCAGTATGTTCGATGGCGGTGGAGGCGGTGACTGACCAAGGTACTGCAGCTGCCGTCAGCCCAATGTGGCGGGCGCCTACTCTTGGCACCCCGTTCAATTTTCTGCGGCGGCCGCCATGTACACAACTGTCCAGCCGGTCGTCAGCATTGTTTGTTCTAGTACTTCCCAGCAGTGGCACTTCAGCCACGTGGCTAAAGTTTGGGCTACGTACAAAAAGAGGAGGAGGAGGAAGAAAAGGAAAATTAGTGGGAATTGGGAACGGGAGAGGCAAGCTCGAAAAACGAAGCATATCAATAAGCATGGGATGCGACCTCTGACCCGTTGCTCCGCGAACGACACAGCCTTGGCCAGAACACCTCGTCGATCCTGTTGGAAACATCGCGTCGAGACTTGTTCGCTCGGCGCGTGCACTCGGCTGCCGGGCCCTTTTACTTGCTCTGGCGAATACGACCCACAGGGCCCACATAACCAACATCCCAGATCGCTCTGACATCTGAAGGTGTGCGAAGGATGCAGCCACCCACCGCGCAGTGCATCTTGCTCCCTGGAGGCACTCCCGAAAGAAAGCCATCAACGAAGAAACACTCGAAACGTGGGCTCCTGAGCAAGAGACCCATTTGCTTCTTACAAGCGGACCCCTTGCAACGAGCGCAGTGGTGATCGTCCTCTCCAAGACAGCGCGCTGAGCTAAAACGGGCGACCAGAGCGGGGCGGGGGCGGATGAGACCTCAGTCGCTCAGCAGATCGAGGCGGGCGCTGATCGATGACCATGGCATCCATCGTGGCACGAAGGAGACGCCCCCGCATCAACTTTGCGCGCTTTTCGTGGAACGCGATGCGAGCCTGAACCTCGCTCCACACTCGGACCTCCTGAAAACGAGATCTGCTAGTTCATCAGCCTTCACGTTGCCTTCTTGCTGCCGCCGACGTAGCCCGCGATCTTCGGACTCAGCCCTCGGCGCATGCGAATTCATGAAAAATTGCAATGCGATGGTCAAGAAGGCGATCGTCCGCTTACATGTGCTCTCCGATGGCAGCCCACGGGCCCGCGTCCGACTCGGCCTTTGACGGAGTAAGAAATGCGCTCGGGCTCCAGACCTCCTGAAAATTACTTCGAAATCGCAAACTCGCCACGATGCGCCGTTTCCCCCAGCGACCTGCGAAGGGCCCTCCAGCCGACAATCCCAAGCGGAGCGGCTCGAAACAATGGGTCAATGCGAAACCCCTTCCCGCTCGTCGCAGCTTCGCTTGCTAGGCACCTAAGCCTCCGCTGACATCTCCGCAGCAGCGCGGCGGCTGTCTGCGCCCGCGGCAATGAAGCCATCCGGGCCCGCATCTTCTCTGAAAACCACGCCCCCTCCGCCGTCGGCGGTTCAACTTCCGCCCCAGACGGAGGCGGTGGGCTACGACGCCACACGCGTTTGATGCCGTTGATGATGCGAGGGCGCTTCGGCGACGCGCGCCTCTGAATCTCGATATGAGCGATGATCTTTGTCCTGCGGGCGTGTTCAGCACAGACGGAGAGGCGCCCCCCGGCGCCGCGCGCCACGCGGCAAGCACCTCGGGCAAAGGAGAAACTCCTCAGCGTCGGTCTCGACGCGCGCGGGCGACCAGTTGCTACCGCGGCCGTCGCCAAGAGGACCCCCCGCCGCTGGGCCACGCGCGGAACCTCGCGGAGACGAAGAAACATTCTGCACGGATCGTTGACGACGCGACCAGCCACGCCATCACCGCAATAGTGACTGGCCGCCTTCTCCCGCAGATTCAGCCAACGCTGATGCGGGCATAACTGCGATGATGCGATGATCTCTATCGAATCCACGCGCCCTGTCATCAACCCCTGGAAAATGCCAGTCGATCTGCAGACTGATGCCCCCGCCCCAGAGCATCCGCCAGCGCGATGGACTGCCGGGGCCTGAATTGCACGAGGGAAGCGCGACGATTGCCGCGCAGACTGGCCCGCGAGCTCGGCGAGCCGTCTCGGCTGCAATGGCGGCCCCATATCCTGAACGATCGCGCCCCGCACTCGCTCCGCACTGGTGCGACATCCACGGTTGGCCGGGCGTCGACGCAGCCGCGCGCGAACGAGTTCGCAATTGGGACACGCTTCTGGACCTCGTCACGGGGCCCGCAAAACCAATGGAGTTGTGAGACGCGCGCCTCGCCCGCTGGATCCACGCGCCGCTCCCGTCCGACGTCGCAGCTTCAACGACTCTGTCCCGAACGTGCCGCATGCCTGATGTCCGTCGCGTGCATCTGTTTGGTCAACTACGTTCTCGCAGTCCGCCGTAAACAAGCAATGTCTGCTAGCACGCGCCAATCTTGATATCCGCATGTTCGGCCGGCAAGCCGCGGCAACCCTGCTTCGCCTCGCGGGTCGTG